GCTCCTTACTTCTACACTTCATACCTGCAGCATTACGCTGAGTCATAACCTTTTCACTGGTTCAATACACACCCCATCACTCGTAATATTAATCTACTAGCTTTGAAGTGTTTATTATTTTATTTTTGTGATGTGTAGAGTTCCAGTGAATAAAGGTCTTTCTTTCTTTCGTTGCAATGTAAATCGGACCATCATCATACTCTGTAACATATCAATAGATAATCTATTCCGCAACTTACTTTTGACAATATCGTACACGGAGAACGCGCGATCGACACTTTTTGTGAATTTCGTGTGTGTCGAATTGGAATCGTGACAAATGCCAGTCCAAATTTCGAAATATTTTCGAACTGTATTTCTTTTTTTTTCTTTGGGCATAATTAACAAATTGCTTGTCGACACAACAGTACAATAGTAAATTTAAATCAAACAAGTGAATAACAATCAACATACATATTTCCAGTAAGCATAGACAACTTAGCCATCCGTAGACGGAGAAACCTATAGACAAATTGAAGCCTTCTTTCGCATTCGCACACGAAAAAGATAGATTTAAAGGCCTTCTACACGGTCGGGACCAACCACCAACCGTCGTGACCTTGGTCGAGTTGATGTAAAAATGGACAGTGTAGACATCGGTTGTCTGACCAATATTTTGGTTGAGTCCGACGGCCTTGGTCGCGAGCGCATCCCTCACGACACGTTGGGTCCGTGGTTGACGCCGACCGTGTGGAACGCTGTCGGCCGACGAGAGCGCCTCAGTGCGCGCTTAGCAGTCGTCGCAGGCGGATGTTTAACGGCACTATGGATACGAACGGAAGCAAAGAACGTGAGGTCCGGACCGAATTCTTGTCACCGTACTGTGATTTACCATGTCTTAAAGTACCACGTCATGTTTGTTTAGAGTAATGCGCTCTTTCAGCCACAATTTTATCCATTTCCTTTTTTTATTTTTTTTCATCTACATTCAAGCATAGAAACGTTAAAGCTAAACCGATTTTTTGTTGTATAGAAAAGCAAGGAGCCATTTTTAAAAGCAACTACCTTACGTCTTTACTCTTTAAATACCAGAGACAACTGACAAGTTGAGTCAACCACCCGACCGTGTAGAACGAATACAAAAATCGGTTGACCCGACCAAGGTCACGACGGTTGGTGGTTGGTCCCGACCGTGTAGAAGCGCTTTTATACATACGTCTTGCATAGAAATGAGACAGATCAGTGTGATTGTTTGTCTCTTTCTCCGTGCCGGTTTTGTGTAGTGTAGTTTACTAAACAACTTTGACAGTTCGTAGCGATCTAAGGAGTTTACAAGTTGGTTTAAGTGAGAAAAAAAAGTATTTTGTGAGCTTAAGATTGGTGAATCTTGTCAGTTCAGTTCTTAGAACAATTAAAAACTTTAAAAATGGTTAGATGTAGTGTCTTATGACGTAAAAGTGATAGTGACCGTAAACTCACCGGCATATTATTTCACTCGTAAGGTCGTAAGTATAGTACATTTTATCTGGTATTACGTATAATATATATATATATATATATATATATATATATATATATATATATTATACGTAATACCAGATAAAAAGTAAAAATAAAATAATAAACACTTCAAAGCTAGTAGATTAATATTACGAGTGATGGGGTGTGTATTGAACCAGTGAAAAGGTTATGACTCAGCGTAATGCTGCAGGTATGAAGTGTAGAAGTAAGGAGCACCAACTCCCATAGTAGAATAGTTAAAAAAGTGGCCATCTGTAAGCAGTAAATAACAGCTCAAAAATTGGGATGAAATAAACTTAGCAGTTGTCGACGGTTTAAGTGTGCTGCTAAACTGCTCAGTAGCTCTAAAATCTAAAATAATTTTATTTAGTAAATATAACCTCGAAAAAGTCGTCTATCCCACTAATATTTTTTGGTGCGTTCTTTAAAATTTACCCCGTAGCTATAGTGGCGCCACCCTTATTTAACTGTTTTCTATGGACACTTTTTAATGCACGGTCTGCACTCCTTACTTCTACACTTCATAGCTGCAGGTTAACCTACAGCGCTGATGATTCTGTATTAACCACAGATATACGCACGATCCGTCTGCGTGTATTTTATGAAATACATTTCCGTATTGAATAAAACTAAATTTACGGATTATATCGCGTTTATTTAACTGATTTTACTTATTTTTAATTCCCGACGTTTTGGGTGCTTTACAGCAACCATGATCACGAGGGGGACTGAGATGTTTGACGTCCCAATGTCATTGTTAGCCCGGCTACCTTCAGTTTTTGAATATTAATTTTTGGTCCGATTTACGCAAAACGAACTTACAGTATCTTGAAGTCTTGCAGTGGTATGCTTGGGTTTGGGTTTAATTTTGTTAATTATAGGATCCCAAGCAGATGGCAGCACCCAACCATCTTCTCTATTGAAATTAGGATGTTTTTTGATTTCAATAGCCTCGCGTATCATCCTTGGTAGGAATCGGTGTCCTTTTACGAGGATTTGTGGTTTATCAAATCTGATGTAATGGTGGGGACGATCTTGAACACGTTCACAGACTGCAGACTTCCCGAAGCATCGGTGCTTCACGTCAGCTATATGTTCTTTCACGCGGATTTTTATGGATCTTTTTGTTTGACCTATGTAAGAGAGACCACATTCACAATCTAACTTGTACACTCCTGCATCTTGTAGCGGGATATTACACTTGACGGATGGTAAAAATTGACTAATCTTCTTCGGCGGCTTGTAGTATGTTTTAATGGAAGCTCGCTTCAAGATGTAGCCAACCTTGTCTGTGACTCCTCTGACATATGGCAGTACAGCAGGTACACGCTCGACTGTGGCCGGCTTCACTCGGTCACTGTGACGTAGGCGCGGGATCCGAAGCTTGTTGTCTTGCAACACTTGCTTGACATGCTGCAGCTCGGCGGCCAGATGTTTTCTGTCACAGATCCCTCGTGCTCTCTGAAACAAAGATTTACCCACGGTAGCTAACTGTGAAGGATGATGGTGAGATTCACCATTTAAATATCGGTTGGTATGAATCTTTTTTCTATACACAGTGTGACCAATAGTGTTATCAGGATTTCGAATGACTAAAACATCTAGGAAAGCTAAAGAATTATTTGCCTCTAACTCCATTGTGAATTGTATTTTAACGTTTATAGAGTTAAGGTGGTTTAAAAATGCAGTTACTTTGTCAGATGGTAAAATTGTGAAGGTGTCGTCTACGTACCGCTTGTAGAATCTTGGATTTACAGGAGCAGTAAGAAGGGCTTTCTCCTCGAAGTCCTCCATAAATATGTCGGCGACTATGGGAGATACAGGTGAGCCCATCGCGACACCATCTACTTGCTTGTAGAACCCTTCTTCCACAATAGATAGACAGATGTGAGGCAACGTTTGAGTAATACTGCATATTCAGCAGGCATGTTGTTATCTTCTAGCTTCCTAGTTACAATTGAGATGCAGTCTTCAATAGGTAGGCATGTGAATAGTGACTGAACATCAAAACTGACCATAGTTTCATTGTCAGCGAGATGTAGGTCTTTTATCTCACTAACAAAATGGTATGAATCCTTTGTGTGTGCTCTGGTATGTCCTCTCAGTGGTGACAGTATTTTTGCCAAGTGTTGTGCCAGCTTATCAGCAGTTGGTGAATCGATCTGGCTCACTATAGGACGTAGTAGAGCGTTTGGTTTGTGTATCTTCGGTAACCCGTACAACCTTGGTGGTTTGGTACATGATTGTATTAGCGAATTCACGTCGAGATTTAATTTTTCGGAGAATTTCATTTATTAAATCGCTAGTTGCTTTAAGCGTGTTAGTTGTGGGGTCTGTTTTGACCTTTTTATATGTACTTTCGTCCGATAAAAGCTGTAGTATTTTAAAACTATACTCTGACGTGTCCATTATTACCGTAGCGTTTCCTTTATCCGCGCGGAGAATCGTTAGCTCTGGTTTGTTCCGTAAGGGAATTAAAAATAAGTAAAATCAGTTAAATAAACGCGATATAATCCGTAAATTTAGTTTTATTCAATGTATAGTGTTCGCGTAAATTTAAGAAATCATTACATTTCCGCAATTACTTTTATAAATTTAAATTAAAAGTTGCTCATAAATATACCTGTAGTCTGTTCAGAATCATTTACTGAATCGATTCCTATCATTTTTAATGTAGGTAATTTTTTATAACTAATCGATCTAAGGAGTTTACAAGTTGGTTTAAGTGAGAAAAAAAAGTATTTTGTGAGCTTAAGATTGGTGAATCTTGTCAGTTCAGTTCTTAGAACAATTAAAAACTTTAAAAATGGTTAGATGTAGTGTCTTATGACGTAAAAGTGATAGTGACCGTAAACTCACCGGCATATTATTTCACTCGTAAGGTCGTAAGTATAGTACATTTTATCTGGTATTACGTATAATATATATATATATATATATTTAAATTTTATCTAAACATGTTTAAAAGTCATAAAGATTATTGAATAACCTAAAACTCTACGTTATCGTCCTTTCTCACTCGAGGCCACGCCAATTAGTCTATAGGTTTCACAATAGAGGAGTCAAGGTTACTAGCATGGAGGTTAGAGAATAGGAGAACAATCGCTACGTGCTACGCCTGTCCTTGAAAATTTATAGAATTTATAGCGTTGCCTTCGGTAAGTACCAAGTATCTGGGAAGTAATATTTTAATTATTGCCAAAAAGAAATATAAAATGGTGAAATATTATTACATAAAAAATCAATAATATTTAATAATTTATATTTGTAATAATTTATTATAATTAAAATTATAAAAACATAATTTATAATTTATTAATAATAATAATAATTTTCGACGATTACGACGTGAGGCTGTTCCCTCATCGAATGGAAATGCTACGGCTGGGAATGCGGCGCCACTAGATGCGCAGCAAACTGCATATGTGGATGCTGCCGTAAATATTCCATTTGTGGTTAATTCAGACTATGATGGAATAGTCTCCCACGAACTAGAGAAAATGGGGAGCATATTGGAAGAGTCGATGCTGGAAACGTGCAGCATGCCTTTCGAAAATCGACCGCGACTTCCCCGCATTCCCCTTAGTAAGCGAAATCGGGCTGTCGTGCGGGCTCTTTACCCAATGCTGGTGACCTATTTGGAAGCCAGCCGGGACCTTTACGAGACGGACTCAATTCTTTTTGGCGCCGCACTGGCAGTATGCCGTATTATTGGCGCCAAACTTCTCATGGCTGGACGTGCTACTCAACAAAGTAGCGCCATTCCAGCCTGGAGAAAAAGAATCGAGGACCGTATCGCAAAGGCAAGGGCCCTTATCGGCAGACTGACAAGCTTCAGGTCGGGTAATAATAGACCGAGAGTTGTGTGCACCGTTAGAATGGAGTTTGCTGGGACAAATATTAGTTTGTCCCAGCCGGATATCACGCAGAAACTAACGGAGCGCATAGATGACCTGAAGCAAAAAATCGCTGCTTGGGGGAAGCGGATTCGACGATTTAGCGAGAGGTCAAGGCGGTTCAACCAGAATCGTCTCTTCCAGAGTGATCAGAAGAGGCTCTATAAATCATTAGAGCGACCAGAGGTGTGTGGAGCGGGCCCAGGACCGGATCAGGCTGACACTGTCGCATTTTAGCGTGGCCTGTGGTCAGAGCCCGTAAACCACAGCTAGGACCCTTGGATGGAAGTTGTGGCGAGCCAGAGTGCAAGTGTTACGCCTATGGACCCCGTCACCATAACGCCTGAAGACGTTGCTGAGGCGGTCCGTAGGGCCCTGAACTGGAAAAGTCCGGGGCTCGACGGGCTGCATCATTACTGGCTGAAGGGGTTCGTAGTGTGTCACGCTGTGCTCGCCCGACAGTTTCAAGAGGCTCTCGATCAGAAGTCGCTCCCGAGCCTCTTCACTACTGGGATCACTCACTTGGTTCCTAAAGATCAGGATACCACAGACCCGAGCAAATACCGCCCCATTACGTGTCTACCCACCATATATAAGACACTGACATCCATTTTGAGCGCGAGAATCACTCGTCACCTAGAGCTAAATCAGGTGATGTCACGCGCTCAAAATGGATGTCGGGGCGGTGGTCGTGGAACCAAGGAACCACTTCTCATTGACGCGGTCATTGGCAAAGTGGTGAAACGCAACCGTCGGAACTTTTCCGCCGCCTGAATAGACCACAGAAAGGCCTACCTATCAATATCTACAATTAGTACTTATTTACAATAGTAAAATAAATAATAATATAGTCAATCTATAATGTATCACGGCTGGGCAATCCTTGATATTTTTTCGTATTTAGTAAGCGAATAACTAGTTGGTAAATTGATCATGATATCTGGTTTTTTTTTTTCGCCGGAAACAAAAATGATATTGCATATTTTTCGTAACTGTACATTCTGTGGATTTATTTCATTATTTTGAACAATATACGAAACTTAAGTGAATAAAATTAAATCTAATCTGAACCAGAATCATAAAAACTGTATTATTCGTGCTAAACGAATCTAATAACGATCTGTTATTTTTATCAAAAAACAGACTATAAGAATCTATCGAATACCTACATAAACAAAATATCACCTATAAATAAAATATTACAAAGTGGAATAACCAATAACAGTGGCAACGTCGCACCAAAGGAATTGCGTTAAGCAGGAGAATTAATTAAAAACTATGTATATTACGGGGATTCTGGATAATTTGTAATATGGAAGGGAGTCCTGATCTGTTTCCCTCCGTCTGGCAATATATGAATATTTGTATATCGACATATGGTAAATTTTCAAAGAAATGAGTTAAACACTACATTTGAAATTGTTTAATGGATCAATATACGCTGCCTACAAGTGATGAACGCTACAATAATGCGAAATGAAAGGACGTAGAATCAATATTGTGATGTACGAGAAAATGTATATATATATATATATATATATATATATATATATATATACTAAAACTGCATTACTCAAAGCTTTTCAAGCTATGCGGGAGCGAAGATCAAAAGACCGGGCTTCGGGGAATAACGCTGCATCATTATAACAAAAGCATTTATTGAGGAATCTGGTGTTGAAATTCTAAGTCACCGACTCTACAGCCTTAACTTAGCTCCTTGTGATTTCTTTTTGTCCCCAAGAGTCAAAGAAAAAATAAAAGGAAAGTGTTTTCAAGCGCCGAAAAAGCCGTGGCTGCCTACGAAGAAGCAATTTACGAAGATCAAGACTGGTAAGTGTTTTCAGAGTTGGTTTAGGCGAATGGAACTTTGTAAACAGCATGATGGAGAATATTTACAAAAAATGTAAAATAAATATTAATAGTATCTAGAATACTTTTGTACGTCTCAAAACTTATTGTGTCCTACGTATTAAATAAACATTACGTAATTTTTTTTTTAGATAAGGACCAAGTATCTAAGCAATAAAACTTAGAAAACCTAATCGAAATCTACCCAGTATTTTTTCCGTGATGAGCGTACAATTTCAAAGCTCTATCGTTTTAGTTATAAGTATTTTTGTCACTTGAAACTTTTTTTATATAACTTATAAATTTTACTATGCCAAAATCGGATCCAAGATTGGCAATTTGCCTTTATACGCCCTCTTAATGTTGCTAATCAATGATTATGATAAAGGTGACAAAATAAAATACAAGATATAGGTTATAGAATATTTAATCAGGCTTTAACAGCATACACACGAGGTGGAAACAGAGACTTCTTCCTTATTTCCTTGCGCGTTTTTAATTTAGCTTCGTGCTTTGTAAGAGCCTTTCGCATAGCACGAGTTTTCTTGGGCCTGAGATCCAGTGGCTTGTACTTCTTATTTTTGTAATGGTTCCGAAGATTTACCTTCATTTTCTGATGGTATACAATGTAAACTCGAGCAATAGCCTTTCTTACAACTCGTCTGAAAAATAAAAATCAAAAGTAAGAAACTACAGCATATACTGGTTTAGTCAGATAATTCATCACCATACACTATAAAATTATGGTATCTTGTAAAAGTATAACTAGTTAAATACCATGAAAAAAAGCTTATTTACCTATGTCCAACATTTGAAATCACATTTATTTGAAGTTTACAAATACTAATACTACTAATTGTGTGTACAATACTACTGTGCTTTAAAAATTAAGTGCTCTAAAATTTTCATTTTGCCAGCAAAACTTAAAAACTTATCATTCATATTTTCATCAAAAAAATTTGAGGTTTTACTAAAAAAATGTTGTAATTTTTCATACTTCTTATTTTTGTAATGGTTCCGAAGATTTACCTTCATTTTCTGATGGTATACAATGTAAACTCGAGCAATAGCCTTTCTTACAACTCGTCTGAAAAATAAAAATCAAAAGTAAGAAACTACAGCATATACTGGTTTAGTCAGATAATTCATCACCATACACTATAAAATTATGGTATCTTGTAAAAGTATAACTAGTTAAATACCATGAAAAAAGCTTATTTGCCTATGTCCAACATTTGAAATCACATTTATTTGAAGTTTACAAATACTAATACTACTAATTGTGTGTACAATACTACTGTGCTTTAAAATTAGGTGCTCTAAAATTTTCATTTTGCCAGCAAAACTTAAAAAACTTATCATTCATATTTTCATCAAAAAAAATTTGAGGTTTTACTAAAAAAATGTTGTAATTTTTCATTGAATTTACATTCTATAAGTGAAACCAAACCACTGGTTTCAAGGATAACGGTGTTTACACTAACATCCTGTATACAGGGCTACAGGTTAAGTCGACCTAAATCCTTTATCTTGAAGTTGAAGCCTCGCGTGACGTGGGTCGGACGAGAATTTATTGCACGAAATAAACATATAGTAAGCGCCAAATTCATTTTATTCAATAGCTCACAATTTTTAAAAATCCCTATTAACAACACTAGATAATATAATATATATGGTCTTTAAATTTTTTGCTTCATAATATGCACCACGATCAGAACAATTCGGTTCACGATGAAAATGAGTTATCTTTGTGATTTTTTTTCAATCAAAAAAATTTACTTCGTATTTGATTCAACTATGTAAAAATTCTATCTGCGATTGGCAATATGTGGTAGTATACGCGCTCTTTATTTCATTCATACACGATTTCCATAACTTACCAATTTATATTAATTTCTTTTGTTTAAGCCATCTAGCGTCTATTATACGCACAACCTTGAGAGTCTATCGATTTTTGTTCGATAAAATGACTAGATCTATAGAACGATGTGTAGATGGGGCTAATTATTACAAAGCAATTTTACTGAAAAGAAAATATTCTTTTGATTTAGTACACTAAATTTTAGCCTTTACATGTCTACAAATAACAAGTCACATATTCATTGAGAAACAAAAAGAAACACTCACGCCTGTCACCCAGAGGGGTAGGCAGAGACTACAGACTTCCATTTAGCACGATCCTGACATATCTCTCTCGCCTCCTCCACATCCATATATTACTCGTCGGTTAAGGGTACTCTTAATTTGGCCCATTTTTAATATATCGCCAATTTGGTGGACAAACTTTCGCCTAGGACGTCCCTTTCCAACCGTTCTTTCACTTCTGCAACATATATTTGCTTTGTCAGTCTTCCCTCATTCATTCTTTCTACATGACCAAACCACCGAAGCATTCCTTTCTTAATCCTGGTCACCACATCATCTTGCAAACCACACTCTTCTTTTATCACAGTTTCTCACCCTGTCACTCAGATTTAGCCCTAACATACTCCTTACCGACCTCATTTCTACTGCATTTATTTTACTCTTGTGCTTCTTCTGCCACCCCCAACTTTCACTAGCATATGTTAAAGTAGGGACTAATACGGCATTATTTAAATTGCCATACGTGCCTTTTTTGACACATTTTGACTTTTCACAATAGAGTGTATAAAGTAAATGGGGCTCCCATTTACTCTATTTCCTGCATTCACTCGTTCAATATCCTTACCATATCTCCCATCCCTGCATTCAACACATCCCAAATACCATCTCCCCTTCTATTCTTATTTCACATATCGTTTTACGGACCCATTGAGAAACAATTGTTTGTAAACACTGTTTCAGAAACATATCAATTTATTTCGGTAAACTTTACGTGTTTATATATTGATTGCACCCCGCTGTGAGTGGGGAGAAACACTCAACACACGAAACACAGAAACAAATCAGTTGCGCAACAGGTGCATGCGAGTGTGATGACACGTTTAAACGTTCGTTTATAAAATTAATAGAACTGTTAGAGATAAAACTAAAGGGGATTATTACCTCACAAAGGATTACAAAAATAAAATCAAAAAGAGAGATTTAGAACGCTTTGGCAATTCCAAAAACAGATGTTTAAACTTCTGGTATGATCCAGCTGATCAATTGTTTGGAAATTCTTAAAGTGTATAAGTGTGAAGAAAATAAATCTCCAGTAGCTAAGTATCTTAAAGTAATGGCTAGTTTTGTTTCAGCGGTTACTGCACTTCGTAAGTTTTTATCTTGTTTCTCTATAAATTGTACCACATTTTGCAAAAGATATTTAAAATCTGATTTTGACATTCGTAGAAAGTTTATAAATGATCCAATAATCACGCATAAATCACTTCATACATCTTGTCTTCTTAAAAGTAAAAGTAAAGTAAAGTTACAGTCTACATATGTCCCACTGCTGAGCACAGGCCTCCCCTCATTTATGAGAAGGTTTTAGGGCAGGGAAATGTCCGCCGCGCTGCCCCAATGCGTGTTGGCGAACTTCACATGTCTTATAAATATTTTTTATCTTATTCCTCAGACATGCAGGTTTCCTCACGATGTTTTCCTTCACCGCCGAGCACGTGGTAAATCAGCACTTAAAATTGCAATTAACAATTTCATTGGTGCCGGCGGGAATCGAACCCGGGTTAATCGCGTTCTGTTATATTACAGCGAGCGTTAACCATCTGAGCTACCACGGCTCTTTTGGTTGTCTTTTTTTTGGCGCTTGTCTTCTTAGCAAGTAGGTAATTCCTGACCCACCCATCATCTTTTTATTTTCTTTTTACTAGAAATGAACTTATGCAAAAAAATGTAGGCACCACACAACACTACTTCCTCGGGCGACATGACCATAAGCAACTGATAACATCTACATGATGTTTCAGAAACTTTGTACCAGAAACATTGTTTCTCGATGAATACATGACTATATTTGCTAAAAAATAAGTTTTATCTTATAAATTAAAGTAAATAATATTACAGATATATTCAATCTGATGAAGAACAAAAAATGCTATTCATTCCTTATAGTAAGGTAATAGTAGTATTGGACCTGATAGTTCCCACAATATTACAGTCTTCTACATCCGACCTCTTAACACTTGATACATATAAAAATTATAATTAACAAATAATTTGCACAACGCCATTACTTTAACAGACAGACAGACAGACAATTATAAAAATGATAGAAATGTATTCAATTACTTATTTTTAGTCACTCTCAATCAATTTTGTTACAAAAATAAAATATGTACAGACATCTGCAATTTACATTTTTATATTATGTATAGATATCCATCCATCACCTGATGATAATGCAAATTTCAAGAGCTTATTGCGATGAAAATTTTAGAGCTCCTAATTAGTACCTAAAAAGCCTAGGGGCTTTGGCTTTTACTAAATGCAAATTCTTGGCTGCGTTGCTAGCGAGACTATTATCCCTCCGAATAGAGATATATTATTACATTTATTACAATTTTCTTAAGCAACTCTAATTTTTTGAAAATAAATTAAATTTAGCTTTCTACTGGTGAAAAACTGGTCAAAATCGATCCAGTAATTTCGGAGCTAACAAACAAATAAAAAAAATCTTTCCTCTTTATAATAGTCTAGACTATAGTTTTTTACTTTTTTAAAAAGTATAGACTAGCCTCTAGATCTCGACAACAGCGCCACCTACAGGGTCTGATCGTGAATCTAAACCATCCAGGGACATACTCAAATGCACACAAAAAATTTCAGAAACAAATCAGGAGATGGGCAGCAGCATCTTCCTAATGATGACTTAAAATAAAAAACTGTAGCTGCCAACCTGCTTGCCAAGCGTGGCAACTATAGCAAATATTCATATGAGGTAATCTCTGCGGGAGGCCCATGTTCCAGCAGTATAGGCTGTTACAGTTAACAGTTATGCATCATTTATTTTATATAAATATCATTACTGTGCATAAAGGAAGTCCAAATTGATAGATATTAACTATTTCTTTAAAGCCTAGTCTTCCGTGTTAGAAGCCTTGGATGCTAGATATTCAGCGTAAAGGGCGTGGTCAAATGATGTACACTAAGTCCCCTACATTATTTGACCATACCCTACATCTTTTTTATAAAAGTGACAAAGAACATTCACACCAGATAAGTGGCTACTAAAGTCCATGAACACCTGCAATCAACTTCAACATGCCTTGTCACCGCAGGAGTAAAATGGAATGCTTCAGACGTTAATCATACTGGCTTTCTTTACAGGCACGACTGTTTGGCGGCAAAAATAGGTTAAAAGGGTTGTATCTACCCAGACGGACTTCTAGACAGAAAACAAGTTCTACCACCTAGTAGTCTGCTGTTGTGTGCTGCTAGAATGGAAAAATATACCTCAGGATAGACTTAATGAGAGAAACTTACTTACACTCCTGCATAAAGGATGTTAATCTTTACAGATGGTAGAAACTGACTAATTGCCTCCCAAAGACTTGTAGAATGTTCTAATGGACTTCTTCGACATAATATTGTGGTAGTGTAGTGGTAGTAGCAGGCACTCAGTGAATTGTGGCCAATTTTACTATTACTGTCATTGTAACGAAGTATTTTTTGTGACTGTTGACTTTTGAAAATAATATTTCAAAATTCCTAATTTTTATTATATATTTCTCTCTTATAATCTTCATTAAAATATGATTTAGTGACTAATGTGAATGTCATTGCTCTTTGTCTATGCTAAGTCATACAAATGGCTCTATAGGAAGCGCTGTAAATGTATAAGGTTTAAATATTCCTTATATTTATTATTTTTAAGATAAGTAAAACTTAGAACTTGGCATGGATATAAAATTGAAAGTAAATTGCCTGGGAGGGCAGGAGAAGCAATGGTTAGGAGATGTAATTTGAATACAAAAGGCTTCCAGAAAAACGCCAAGAGCGTGTTGGGCCACGCTCAGTGTAGGGTTCCGTAGTTTCCCGTCCGTCACAATAAGTGTTCCCACTTATGAGTTTAAAGGTGGGTATCCATTATGTTCGCGCTCCAGCAGCGCTCCGCGCTCCTGCAACTGCTCCCGGTAGTGGGTACGTGCGCGAACATGCACGCTGCGG